TTTTTCCCTTTTTCTTTCATTTTTCTTTCGTTTATCTTTCCTTTCTTCCTTTTTTTCCCTTTTTTCTCCCTTTTTCCCCCTTCTTTTTTCTTTTGTTTCGTTTCCTTTTTTTTTTTTTTCTTCTCTTAAACATCCCCCAGCCCCCCATCGACCTCAGATCGATCGGGCGTGCCAATGTCGATGGTTGGAAAGCTCAGTCTGATGTTGGTTTTTTTTTTCTTTCTTTCTTCTTTTTCTCCCTCTCTTCTTTTCCCTCTCTTCTTTCTCCCTCTCTTTTTTCCCCTCTCTTTTTCCCCCTCTCTTTCTCTCCCTCTCTTTTCTTTCTTCTTCCTATTTCCCCCCTTATCTTCTCCTATCGTTCCCTTTTTTTCTTCCCTGTTTTTTCTTTCATCTCCCTTTGAAACTTTTAAAAGAAAGAGTAAATTTCTTTCTTTTTCTTTTTTTTCTTTTTTAGGGGGATAAAAAAAAAACCCCCTCCGAATTTCATTTCAATACCCGAGCCTGCCTGCCTGCCTACCTGCCTGCCACACAACAACTCCGTCGTTGGCTAGATAGATAAATAAACAGATAAATAAGTTCCATCTCAAGAAAGACACTCAGATCCCCTTCCATGAATGCGCAACTAGAAGAAGAAGAAGAAGAAGAAGAATACAGAAAATGAGTGCGAAACTTGAAAAAAGAAAAAAAAAAAAAAAAAAAAAAGAGAGAGAGGAGAGAGAGAAGGAAAGAAAAAGAAAGAGAGAAAGAACAGGCCCCGTCGAACTGAAAGCAGCTTCGTCTCTCAGGAAGGAAATCACCTCCCCCCCTTCTTAAAAAAATCGTTGCGATGAGATGCGATGCGATGTATACATACATACAAACATACAAACACATATATAAACACACATATACACAAACAAACAGACAAACAAAACATATAAACAAAAGATATATAAACAAAACATATAAACAAAAGATATATAAACAAACACACAAACACACAAACATACAAGCTACCTACCTACCTACCTACACCTAACCACCTAACCACCTAACCACCTACCTAAGTACCGGTACCGGTCCTCAACCGATATTCATTCAATATTGACTTAGCTCAGCTCAGCTTATCCCCTCTTCCCCTCTTCCCTCTTCCCCTCTTCCCTCTTCCCTCTTCCCTCTTCCCTCTTCCCTCTTCCCTCTTCCCTCTTCCCTCTTCCCTCTCCCCTCTCCCCTCTTCCCTCTTCCCCCTCCCACCTCCCCTCTTCCCTTCCCCCTCCCTCCTCCCCCTCCCCCCGAAATTCAAATCAAAGTTTGCATGGTGGAAATTGGACATGTATACTATATACATACTCTTCTTCTTCGTACTACGTAGTATATCTATCCATCTTACGGATCTGCAAGGGGAGAGAGGATTGAGTCGTTGTCAACACTCTCTTTAGCACTACCCCCTTTCCGGAGTTGCATTCGAGAGTATAAAAGAAGATATAAAGTTGATCCAAGAGAAGATGATTAAATTTTGACACTTAAATATCGACTCGATAAAATATATTCAACTCCTTCGCATTATACATCTCCATACCCTGGAAGAGACCTTCACAGGGAGGAGCGCTTGCTACGCTTTTAACCAGCGGGACGTAAATCAATACTATTCTACTGCTACTCCACACATCTCCCTCGGCCCAAACACGCGACAACACGCCTTCTTCGCCATACGCCAGCCTCGTTCATCTGTACCACGATGAAGCTCCAAGTAGAACAGGCGGGGGATAAGGTCAAACCGTGATAGAAAAATGTTCAGAAGAGAATCTCGATACCAGCCTCCCGGGCGCTTAAACGCCCTTTTCCCAAACGGGCCGGAGGGTCCGCGTTTTACCCACCGCGGCAGAGTGGTGGGAAAAAAAAAAAAAAAAAGCAACGCTTGCAAATGCCACCGGCATATTAAATGATATACTTTGGTAATCGGAATCGGACGCAAGTCGCCTGCCAGAGCGAGTCCAGACATCTCCTTTCCGAGATGGGTGGCTCTGGCTATCGAGGGACGTCCTCGATGAGATTGTCGAAGTGGAAGAACTCTCCTTTCCGAGATGTGAGGCTCTGCCTATCAAAGGGCGTCTTCGACGAAATGGTCGAAGTGGAAGAACCCTCATCTCCGAGATGTGTGGGGAAAGAGATGTGTGGCTCTGCCTATTGAGGGGCGTCCTCGCCGAAATTGTCGAAGTTGAAGAACTCGCTGTCAAAGCTAGGGGTCACGCCTGAGCCACTCGCCATGGCGTCGTTGAAGAAGCCGTCGGTTTGGTACCGTGCCTCGGTCGGGTAGGTCTCGCCCGCCGACGCGAGCGTCGAGTTCAGGCCGGTCATGCTGGGATACATCTGCGAGTTGCCCATGCTGTTCGTCGGTGGCACGTCACTGTTGGCCCAGTTGAACCTTCCGACGCTCTCAGCGGGGTTGGGCGTGGAGGGATTGCCATAGGTGAACGGGGAACCGAAGAAGGTGGCGGCGTCGTTGGGCAGGGCGGTGCTGAACGGTCCGAAGGTGGTGCCGGTGTTGCTCTGCGACAGGTTGATGTTGCGTTGCGCCTGGGGGGCTGGTAGCCCCAACTCCTGAGCGGACAGGCCTGGTGGGAAAGCGGGATTTGGCTTCGGTGTCGAGGCCGGTGGCGACGCGGAGGGATGGGCTGCCGATTCTTGGGTAGCGGGCCTATGGGGCAAATCCAGCGTGAACAGGCTTTGTGGGAAAGACGGATTTCGGCTCGGGATCGGGCCCGATGGCGAAGCTGGCGTATTGGCTGCAGATGCATGGGTGGTAGCGGGCGTGACCGGCAAGGACATTCGTCGGTTGTCGGTGGTCCCCAGCGGGCTGACTTGTGCGCTTGTCGACGTCTCTGGCTTGATGGAAGGCTCGCGATTGAGAGATGGTGCGGCGATCGAATGGGACCGGGGGCTGGGGTACGGAGCCTGTCTGTAGTGGTACTGCTGCGATGGCTGCGGGGCCTGCGGTGGTTGCGGTGGCTGCTGCGGTGATTGCATCGGCGTCTGCATCGCGGGCTGTTGATACTGATGTGCTAGCATCGGCGACGGGAAATTTCCTGCAAACTGCGGCGGGTATGGCGACACGAGACCTTGCTGCACGTACGAGTTCCAGATGGTCTTTTCCAGCGCGGCTCGGATCGCCACGTTCGACGTCAGATACGCTTCTAACCTGGAGTTGAATTCGCGATTGCCGCTCTGCAGATGGGCCGCAAGCTGCAGGTACTGTCTCGGGAAGCCGTCGTCCTCTTCCTCATACATCTCCTCGTTCATGACATCCGCCTCGGTGACCCGGAGACCGCGTCCCGTCCGACGCCTGTGTATCTCTGAGGCGCGACGAGCCGACTCGACTCGAGCCTCGAGACTTCGGTCGCTGCGACGAGACGCGGCAATGTATGCCCTCTCTTGGTTTTCTTCGTGTGTGCGCTCGGTCTAAGTCGAGAGACGAAGGGTCAATTGGGGGGTGCGCTTTGCAGGACAGCGACGAGATGTGGTGCGTACCTTTGCGGGCTTCAACGACCCTCCCGGGACCATGGGTGGCTGATTCCGGGAAGGTTGATTTCGGGCAGGAGGCATTCTCGGGGATGCTATCGTGCGTTGAGCACGATGGAGGAGCTGGGTCTGGATCTGGGTGTGGGTGTGGGTGTGAGTGTGAGTGTGGGCCTGGGTCTGAGTCTGAGTCTGAGTCTGAATCTGAGTCTGGTTCTGGTTCTGGTTCTGACTCTGACTCTGGGTCTGGGTCTGGGTCTGGGTCCTGATGATATGTCAATACTGAGTGAGGATGAAAAGATATTCGGTGGTGGTGAAGAATCAGGCTACGAACCTTGGTCCTTTAAGTACAGGCTGGCTGGCGGTCTGAGGTGAGTGAGGATATACCTAGTTGGTTTAGGAAGGATCCAAATGAAGTATGGTTGGGTTGGTTGGTTGGTGGGTGAATGGGGTGAATGGGTGGGTCCGGTGCTAGGTAGGTAGGTAGAGTGAAGAAGCGGATCCAGAGCACAGAGGTCGGGTGAACGTGGGTAGAGAGCCGGGGAGGAGATGCCTCTTAACAATAAGACGCGATCGATCTTCTTTGAGGGTTGAGGGCGAGTGGTAGGTGTAGTGGTAGAGGTAGAGGTTATGGTTCTGGGGAGTGTGGTAGGTGTTGGAGGTGTTGGAGGTGTTGGAGGTGGTGGAGTGGGTGTGGGTGTGGGTGTGGAGTGGGTGTGGGTGTGGGTGTGGGATGGAGGTGGTGTAGGTAGTGCAGCAAGGTACTACGTACGTCGGGTCGGTCGGTCGGTCGGTCGGTGCAGTTCGATCAAGAAGAAGGCTGAGAAGGCTGTTGCGATCGGGGGGGGAGGGGGGGGAAGGGGGGAGGGGGGGAGGGGGTGGCAGAGGACGGGGACGATGACGGGGAAATGCTGACAAAACACGGCCGGAATGGGGGATGGGACTGATACCGTTTGCAAATGGACGTGGAGAATTGGCGATCGAAGCAGTTGCTGGGCGTGTCTTTTATATGTGCATCGTTTCCGTACATGTGTGTGTACAGTCTGGCCTTACCCCGTTTCCCCCTCTCTTCCCCCCTCTTCCCCCCTTCCCCCCTCTTCTAGCTGTCAGTGAGTGTGCTGTTCAGACCCTCGCTGCCTCGCTGGCCCTCGCTGGCCCTCTGCAAGCTCTGCAAGCTCAGCAAAGCTCTGCAAGCTGGCTGGCGGCCCTTTTCATGGGCCCCGTTTTCCAATGGCCAAAGCGAAGGAGGGGTCCCGCTTCGAGCTCGAAGGAAGGAAAGTGGCGAAAAGTTGCTACTGTACTGTACCGGTACCACCAGACTTTTGCTCCCTTTTGCCTCCATCTCGTTGCCCCGCGGACCGCCCGGGGGGGAAAGGGGGGGGGGGAAAGAGAGGTGGGGCTGGCTCTGCGTCACTTCCTATTTTCGATCTGGCCGGTGCTCTCTCTAGCGCCAGATTGCCGAGGGGATCGGCTGGGGAACCCCCTGTCTCCCCTGTCTCCCCTGTCTCCCCCGTCTCCCCCGTCTCCCCCGATCCAGTTCCATTCCATTCCATCCTGATGCACATCGGAAGCAAAAAAATCCATCCAGGAGTCACAGCCACGCCGTCATGTGACTCGTATTCGGGTTGGATGCCCAGACTTTTCTCTCTACTGGGTATCGTCTGCCGTATGCGTTGTGTTGTGTCGTGGTACTGCCAATTTCTTCTGCTTCACCCGCCCTCCACCCTCTCACACATACCGGTACACCATAACGAACGCATATGAAAAAAAAGTATCCGGTCATCCATCATCTTTCCCATCAATCCGTCGCGTCTGTCAGTTCTGTCAGTCCAACGTCACAAGTCCCCGTCCGGCCCCCCCCCCCCCTCCCCCCTCCTTCACATGCCTTCCCTTCTCGAGCGGTAGCGTAGCCCACTCCGCTCTCTAGCCCCGATTGACCTGCGCCATAGCAAAGCAGATGGGAGCCACCGCAAATGCCATCCTGGCGAACATGCCATTTCGCGACACATAGCGAAAGTCGGACAGGTCAGGGAAGGAAGGTAGGTAGGTAGGTAGCTCAGCTGGGCATGCAATTATTGGGTCTTGCGTACGGGTTACGGTACTGTACTTTACTGTACTGTACGGTACGGTACGGTACGGTACTGAGTAGTATCGCGCACTATTTACTACTCTCCTGTGCGAACTGGTCCGTCTCGGCAGTTGGAAACTAGTGTTGCTTAAGTCACTCAAGCCGACCGAAATCTCCTTAAATACCTCAGCCCAACGAGCTCCCTCTATTCCGTGCTAACTACCTTCTGCCTACTGCCTACTACCTCCTACCTACTACCTACTACCCACTACCCACTACCTACTCCCTCACCCCTCTCACCAAGTGGACAAGAATCCGGAGCTCGATTTACTACTACGTGGTACGTAGCTTGGCCTAGCACGTTAGGGGTGCCGCTATCACGAACAAGGCTTGTTCGTCCATCCGTCCGTCCATCATCAGTCCGGTGATGCGATGCTTGGCCTTCCTCTCGCTTTTGCCTACGGAGGGATTCCTCCTTTGTCCCGTGTCGGCCCTGCATTCTGCCCATATCTCAGAAGCCGTCCGGGGACGCAAGGGAGGGCTTTCCTCCTCCTTCTTCTTCTTTTTCGACTGGGTTGCTGGGTCAATGAATGTCCTCAATGTCCTTTCTTTCTTCCGGCACTTCCTGGGAACTTGGGAATGGGACAAGCGGGATGAGATATCAGGAAAGGGCTTTCCCCCGTTCGGCGAACGCATCTTCGCCGATGGATGGCTCCCCGAGTCTTGTTCTCCTCTCTTCGTTGGTTGGCTTGAGGTTTGGTACGGTACGACGCCTTATCTACCCGCACGTGCGTGCGCCCGTCGTGGGATTGCAGCCGGCGTCGACCCGTCTCAGGCTTACCGTCCGACACTTCCGCTTGGGACAGGAAGTTGCAAAAAAGGTGCCAAAAAGACTTCTCTTACCCTTTCCCTTTTCTTCTTCGCGCTCTTGTGATTCCGGTAGCGTTGTCCTATTTTTTCCCTGAAGAGTTTCATCACACGGGCGTCGATTGACGTACTACTTTGCTCGGGTGTGGTTGGTTGTGGTCTGAACGCGGGCAGGGAACCAACTTGGTTCCCTTCCGTTGTTTCCTTACGCACGGCTGGCTGACAACAGTCGGTCCCGTGAAGGGCCTCGAAAAGTTGTGAGGTCAACTCCCACGATTGATCGCCTGGGCCGCCTCAACAGAATTTGCGTAGGATTAGGATTAGGGTTATATGAGGGGAAGGGCAGCCTCGGCGATGAGCTCAGTCACCACCATCGCCGACCCTTCCCAAATCTCTCCTCACCCTCCAAACCCGAGATCCTACACCCCTCCCTTGTGACCCGTCGAGTCTCTCGACCCAGGGCACATCGTGAAATTGACTCGTACCACGGTTCTGCTCCGGCCGTACAATCCTGCCTTCACCCATCCCTTGGTCCTCGTCACCTTCACCCTCGTCGTCTAACTCCAAGACCTCGTCTTCATCATCCCTGTCATCCAGCTGTCTCCTCGCCGCCTTCTCACTCGCAATCTTCACATTCATCTCCTCGGTATACGCCCACCCAGGCGTATCCAGCTTCCCACTGACCAGGACGATCTTCTTTCCTGTCTCATTGATCTCCGCAATTACTCTAGGTGCAATCGGAGTAAGTAATTGGATTCGGCGACGAGCAACGTCTATCCCGCGGACTAAGGCCAGACCGATGGAATGTGAGTAGCGAGGGTCCAGCGTAATGACATTCGCAGGGTTGAAGTACGGAATCTGCTCAACGGGTGTGGAGATAATGTCCGGTTCTTCTATACGGCGAGATTCCGGGAAGTGCTTCGGAACTTGGAGTTCGGCGTCAAAGGCACCGTCTACATCTTCCTCGTGGCCGTCCTTCGGTTTGGGGATGGCTGCCAGGTCTTCTATCACGACCACAGCTACCAGAGACCCGTTGATCGTTTCGGCGAGGAGTTCTGGGGGCGGTTGCTCCCCGTAGCACATCACGCCTATGATCCCGGGACTCTCGCCCGTATACCTGATCTCCCAAGGCGGGATAGCAGTAAGAGGCTGGCCCCTCCAAAGCAGCTCGTTTGAATCTGCAGAAGCGAGGTGGAAGTATGAGATCGCTTGCATACTCCGCAGATGAGCTGCCGTTCTCGTCGTGTACTCGCTAATTTGAGACGGGAGTGTGAAGAACGTGGACTGCTTGGCGGAATCTTTGAGCGTGCTGACGACTTCCCAGGGCCCTTCCAGTGACATGTAGATCACCTCCGTGGGCTTGACGCGCCCGATCAAATCGACGAGGATCTCTAGACCGGTGCCGAAGACCCAGCCGGGGGTGTTGATGATTAGAGGGCAGTTTCTTACTGCTGATCCCATTTTCCGGTAATGAGAGAAGAGATCCAATGCGCAAGACAGGTATAAAGATGGGTCTGAAGATGGTGATATTGAAGCTACGGAGTGGGCACGGATGAGGGTACTTTTCCCAGCTGGGAGTGGATGAGAGAAGGGAGGTCCAAAATTAGGATTCTGGACGTGCACAAGAGCAAGTTGTCCGGGGGGCGAGTATTCTGGCTGTCCCGGGTCGATGTCCAGTACTGCGATGCCTCGAGATGTGCTGTTCTCTGAGATGGACAGTAATCTGTTACCGAGGATTTTCGCAAACGTTGATTTGCCTGAGGATTTGGGACCACAAATCATGACCACACGATTCTTTTCTACAGGCTCGGACAATTTTGACAGTAGTTGATTCCATTCGGGCGGGGATATTAGGGGTTGCAGATAGCTTGACTGGAGGTCGAGCTTCGTTGAGAATAGCTGTTGCGATTAGCAGATGCAAAGCTGAAGCTAGAGAATACTCACGATTCGGAATGTCGTCCTGTTGAACTTGGGCAACAGGTCAGGGTAGTTCTCTCCTAACGGACCTCCATGGGCATGCCATAGCCTACCAAACAGAGGCGACAGGGGCTCCAACACATCCAAGCCACCATGGCAGCCACGCAGAAGAATTTCGGCTGGGATGACATCGTTCATTGAGCATCTGATCACAGGTAGAGAGTGGGAAGATGCAGCGAAGACTCGATGGAAGGTATCCGATGGTTGCAAAGCCGCGCCCATGAATGTGACCTGACCCTTCCGGACGCGGAGTTCATATTGACCGACAATAACCAGGCGCTGGATAATGTCAACAAAGGTACCGAGAAGCTATTGGATTGATTACCTCCCCAGGCGCCAATCTCAAACGGAGCGTACCGCCACCAACGTCCCTGGTGTTGCTCTTACTGGGCCTGTAAGAAGAGAGTGGCACAGAGGGCTTCTCAGGCAGGATATCTGGGGATTTGGCACGTGATTCAAAATTCTTGTCTAATTCGGTGTGTAAATCGATGCATTCAAGAGAAATTGCCGAGGACGTAGCGAGTTGGACACCTTCATTGAGATCCAGGTTGATGCCATCAGCGGCATTTCCTAGGGCAGTTTGGGGTCCGGTGTCTTCAACGGCAGTCTGTGTATTCGCATGCTCCGAACTTGAGACTTTCAGATCGGTCGAAGCAGCGGTAAACGTAGGAATAGAAGCCAGAATCTGTTTTGCAGGAGTACTCGGACTGCCAGTTTTGTTCTTCAGAGCTTGTCTAGCTGCAAAGGCACTCAATTCTGGAATTGATATCAGTACAAGTGCCACGCTGCCTTTTGTTCTACGTACGAGGTTTCTTGGGAGAAGTATCAACCTTTCTCTTCTTGTTTGCAGACATAATTAAAATTATGATGGTGGATGATAAAAGGTCGTTGAAGTCGCTATCAAAAAAGTGACTAGCGTGATGTCGCTCCCATCGGGTTTTTCGGTAATCCTTGTTCCGAGTTTAATAAAAATATTATTCGCGACGCGCACTCCAGCAAGACAGCTCCAACATCTTGACCTCCACGCCACTCCACGAAAAACTAACCATGGCCTCCGAGAAATCCAAAGCCCGCGAGGCTAAGAAGGCAAAGAAACCTGTCCAGCATCAAAAGCCCACGAAAAAGACCCCTCCACTAGCTGCATACAAGAGCCAGGAGTTCGTGCACGAGAGTGACAGCGATGAAGAAGGGAAGAATGCGAAGGGGAAGAAGCATGAGTCAGAGGAAGCATCCGATAGCGACGAAGAATCATCTTCCGCGGAATCAATCAAAGCTACCTCCAAAAGCAATGGCAAAATGCCCGCACCCTCGGGAAGCAGCAGCGAGAGTGAGGATGACAGCGAGGACAGCGATGAGGCCAGCGAGGATGAGGACTCCGACGAAGCTACAAACCCAGCTCCGGTAGCTACGAAACCTACAAAGTGAGTCCAAAGTCCCGGAATAATCGGTAACATTTGCTCAATCAACTAGGCAACCTGCGAAAAAATCCACCGAAAAAGTGGTACTGTCCAATTCACCTCGTCCATTCAAAGCTCCTGCAGGATTCAACCCGGCGACAGTAGATGGAAACTTGGGTGCTTCGACTATGTTAAGGGAATCAAATTTGGCGGGCAAGCAGATTTGGTATTTTACCGCGCCGACTTCTGTTCCAATTTCCTCGCTCAAGGAGATTTCTCTGTCGGATGCGACAAATGGCAAATCAGTCTTGTCATACAAGGACAATGATTACGGATTCATGGAGTCGGCCGAGGACAAGACATATACGAAGATCATGGTACCAAGCAGCTCCCATGATGGGTACCAATATGGTAGGTCACAACCTCGACAAAGTCACGGTTTTATAACTCATCTGAGGCTAGCTTCCAAATCTATTGATCGAGTATTCCAACTACATAAAATCGTTCGAAATCCTACCACCGAAGATCCTTCCAAAGCGACAGTCCCCGCCAAAAGACCCGTCAGGCAACAACCTAGAGGCATGAAGATGCGATTCCGTCCTATTGGCTTTGGCTCTGGGGAAACTGGAAGGATTGGGTCCGCTACACCTGAGCCTCAAGCAGAAATGGATGAGGCTACACCAGCGACCTTCCGTAAAGCCCCCGGAGCCTCTGACTCTGATTCGGACGAAGTGATGGAAGATGCGCCCCCCATACCCAAGAAATCACGCACCAAATCAAAATCCAGCAAATCTGAGAAGGAGCCTTCGCTGAAGAGGAAGCATAGAGAAGGCGGAGAAAATAAGTCCAAGCACAGTTCGTCCAGCAAAATGAGTAGCAGTGAACGCAAAGAGCTAAAACGATTGGAGAAAAAGCAGAGCGCATCTCAGCTAAGCACAGTCGGCAATCCATCAGCGTAAACTGAGAGCCACGAGACTCGTACCCTGAAGCTTCATTCTCAGACACCCAGGAATATCCGAACGACACCAGTTCCTGCTCTTAAACCATCTATACCATCAACTTCATCGCAGCCTCCAAGCACAAGGGTTCTGAAAGTCAGTGATGGAAATTAGTACGAGGGAGTTCGGCTGGACGAGAGATCTTTCGATGTTTTCCTTGTCCGCATGATACCCTTTCAGTCTACTATTGTATCAAACATACCAAGTAGGATCGCTACAGCGCAGTTGAGGTTGCGTAATAATCAGTGCGCTGACTTTTACCTGCGGCCTCTCGGTAACAGTCAGGACAAGCAAGTGTCCCAGGTCAAGCAAGTGTCCCACTTCAAATGGTCAGAACACCGAAAATACTAGCATTTTATATTTTGAAAAAATGCACAACGCATCCGTCTGCTCGAATGGTTTCAATGATTGTACCAGATTTGCGATTGTTCAGAGAGCCTATATACATCTCTTTAGCCTCTTTTTAAAAAAACGATGACAGTCTCTCCCGGCGGATATCCAACACCCGCTCTCGACGCGTCTATATCCAAAAGCATTGCGCTTCCTCCTTTTAGCTCGATATATACCCAGCCTTCTATAAAGCAGGTTCTTCGACTCCGGATATACGTGCTGACGTGAAAGCAGATTTAATTTTTTTTTGATCGTGTCTTTCTTTCGTTGTCGGTTTTTATATCTTCTAAAAAGCTCAATCGCGCGCTTCTTGAACGGCGCGGTCATACTCTTTTTTAGTAGCATAACGGCCGTAGTAACGAAAGACTGTAAGAGCTTTTACAGCGCGGTTTCTATGCTGCGGAAGCGTAGTTGGATAGATGTTAAAAGGAATAGTTATTGCAGACGGGATGGGATTATATGCGATTTACCGGTACTAGGTACAGTATGGGGAGGCTGTCTGGAGTGGGACACTTGCCTGTCTGGACTGGTTACCGAGAGCCCGCAGGTACTACGTCGCAGGCGTAAGTATTACCCCTCGAGGGTAGGGAAAACAGGGGGCTTAAAGTGGAAACTAAACTTTTAAGGCACCCTCGAGGGGTAATACTTAGGCCTGTACCGTGGTACAAGTCAGCGCACTGACTACCTATTTATCTGCCCCCAAGGGTCTGTTGATTTCTGGAGGCAAAAGCTTTTGATTTGCATCAACTCTCACATGCTGGTTGATATGCCAAGCGTTCAACGATAGTAACCGTGACAGCTTAGAATCCACCCCAGGCACTTTTTTTTTTTTTTTTTTTTATACTTGACTTTACCGAAATGGATTGTCAGATACGGACAGCTCACGCGCGTTCTCCGGTTGTTGTTGTTGTTGTATTTATTAACGTCGGGCGGGTATCCAAAACGCAATGCTTGGACCTTAGGGACCTCCCATGGGGTACGGCGACGTGCTAAGTAGAGGAATTATATACAAAGTACTATCTAATCGAGAGTAAAAACCACGTTAAGGAAAACCTCTCGTCAAATAGCTGGACACTTGTAAACCTTTTAAAAGCAATTCATAGTGATGTGCGTCGAGTTTTCTCTCGACAACTGTCGAATACGTGTGGCCCTACGGGCGGCCTCGATCCGTATAGTACAAACATCGTTCTCTTTCGTCGTAGAGCTAGGAAGGCTCGCGTTCGTAGCCCTTAAATAAAGCCGGTGTGTTTGTAGAACGCTCTTCCGAAGGCGCAGTACCGTGTTTTCGATCAATCGAACTAAGCCCTTCTTATCCTATCTCTTATACACGTTCCCCTTCTATCGCAAATCCTCTTGGTCTTTTCAATCGGTATGCCCGTTAGGTATAGATCGTAGTCGGCGTGGTATTCGAGAAGAAGGAGGAGGGAGGTTCGGAATCGCCGGTAAAAGAAAACCTCTTCGAAAAGACGTCGCATGTCGATGATTCAATTTCGGCTCTCCAGACTCTTTATCTCTCTTTCTACCGCAAGAGAAAGAAAGAAAAAGAGCTGAAGGTTCGTAAGGGGCACCTCGTACAGGTAAAGAATCGTAGCCCCCCGCGCGCGTTCTCCGGTGGATGGGGGGGAGGCCCTGTTACTTACTACCGATACCTCGTACGTACAAGCATGCATGCTGCAGGTAATTTCACGATCGCGAAAGTGATGGCAAGAAATGATTAGCAGTATATTTTTTTTAAAAGAAAACAATTGAATTGATTACTGTGGAATGAAAGTGGATTTTATTTAGTGAAGTGCGACGTGAAAACGTTTTAGCGCCTAGCTCACCGGCCGTGTGGCGTACTTAGGTATCCGGTACAGCTGAGCAAATGGAGTCAAAGGTCGATCGATGTATTAGCTAGAAGAGAGGTAGAAGCTACCACGGTACAGGCCTAAGTATTACCCCTCGAGGGTGCCTCAAAAGTTTAGTTTCCACTTCAAACCCCCTGGTTACCCTACCCTCAAGGGGTAATACTTACGCCTGGGACGTAGTACATGGTCTGTGCTCTAGACCCCCCACGTGACCTTAGCCCCACGACAGGTACCCTACCCTGTCAGCGCGGGGTCCAAGCCAAAGGAATTTTTCTGTCGGAGTTTCAATTCCGCCACTTCGCCTTCGACTCAAGAACTTATTTCCTCCATTTTCCCCCCAAACCCTCTCTACTTTCACTATTTCCCATTTCTACCTTGCCGCTGATCAAGTACAAAATCGCAATTATGGCCTCCAACAGCAGCTATGCTCTCTCCACCTCCCACAAGGACGTATGTCTACCTCTCTGCCAGTGTGCTAAACGCAGCTGGGCACATTCAAAGGCGATTTTACTGACTTTTTAATAGATGCTGGAGAACTCTCTTCTTGCCACTGACCCGGAGATCGCTGAGATTATGGTAGCTACAATCCTAATTTACTGCTCAGAAGTATGAGTCTCGACTGACCTTCAACCCACCAGAAACTCGAGATCCAACGTCAAAGAGAATCGATCATCCTCATCGCCTCCGAGAATGTCACCTCCCGCGCCGTATTCGATGCCTTGGGATCCCCAATGTCCAACAAATACTCCGAGGGCTACCCAGGTGCTAGATACTATGGTGGAAACCAACACATCGACTCCATTGAGTTGACCTGCCAAGCTCGGGCTCTCACTGCCTTCCACCTCGACGAGAAGAAATGGGGTGTCAACGTTCAATGCTTGAGTGGCAGCCCTGCGAACTTGCAGGTCTACCAGGCTATCATGAGGCCTCATGATAGACTGATGGGTCTCGATCTTCCGCACGGTGGTCATTTGAGCCACGGTTACCAGACCGCTCAAAGAAAGTGAGCAATTCGCCTCCCCTCGGAAAGAGAGAGCGGAACTAACGTGATGTAGGATCTCTGCCGTTTCCACCTATTTCGAGACTTTCCCATACAGAGTCAACCTTGAGACTGGCATCATCGATTACGACAGACTTGAGGAGAACGCTCTCATGTACAGACCAAAGGTTATTGTTGCCGGTACATCCGCATACTGCCGCTTGATCGACTATGCCCGTATGCGCAAGATTGCTGATCTTGTCGGTGCGTACCTTCTCGTTGATATGGCTCACATCTCTGGTCTTATCGCCGCTGGTGTCATCCCGAGTCCTTTTGAGCACGCCGATATTGTTACCACTACTACCCACAAGTCTCTCCGTGGCCCTCGTGGTGCCATGATCTTTTTCCGCAAAGGCGTCCGCAAGACCGATGCTAAGTCTGGCACGGAGACTCTGTACGATCTTGAGGGCCCAATCAACTTCTCCGTCTTTCCAGGTCACCAGGGTGGACCTCACAACCACACCATTACTGCTCTTGCCGTTGCTCTCAAGCAAGCTACCACTCCTGAATTCAAGCAATACCAGGAGCAAGTTATCAAGAACGCCAAGGCCCTCGAGGTTGAGTTCAAGAAGCTTGGCTACAACCTCGTCTCTGGCGGAACTGACTCGCACATGGTTCTCCTTGACCTCCGATCGCAAGCACTTGACGGTGCCCGTGTCGAGGCTGTCTTGGAGCAAGTCAACATTGCTTGCAACAAGAACTCCATCCCAGGCGACAAGTCTGCCCTCACCCCATGTGGTATCCGCATTGGTACCCCAGCCATGACATCCCGCGGTTTCGGCGAGGAGGCTTTCGTCAAGGTTGCAGATTACATTGACCAATGCATCAAGATCTGCAAGGAGGTACAAGCTGCGTTGCCCAAGGAGGCCAACAAGCTGAAGGACTTCAAAGCCAAGGTCGCTTCTGGTGAGTTAGAGAAGATCAACGAGATGAGGAAGGAGATTGCCGCCTGGGCTGGCAGCTTCCCTCTTCCCGTTGAGGGCTGGAGAGCTTAGATGGATGTTTTGTTTCTATGGAGGGCGGTAGTTCTTCAACAAAGGCATGGATAGGATGCGTGGGGCGCGGGTACGGTGTGTGGCTATTTCAACTCAGCCAACCTAGATATCACGGAGTAAAATGGCTGGTCATAAGGGTCCTTAGGTCGGGTTTTTCAAAATACTGAATGCAAACAAAAGGTTCAACGTACGGTAATTCTTCATTCATTCCGTCAAGTCAAAGGTAAATTTCGCACCGGGCCTCTTCATGAGGCCCTACACCAGAACTTAGCGAGCCTTCCACCTAACCTTCCCTACCCACTCCGCAAACCTCCTTACGTCTTCCCTCTCCACCAGTCTCTCAACGGTAAAGAACTCCCTCGCCAACTCTTCAAGCGTAGCAACCCGATGGACAAAACTATGGCAGGCCCTACATAACCACGCCACGTTCTCCAACTGATCCTCCGCATGCCATCCCCTCTTCAACGCCTTGGCGTGCACTCCTCTGGGTATCAAATGGTGGAAGGTCAGCGGGATCCATCCCCTCGCGCAAATCTCGCACTCGTCCACATCACGCAGCGTCTGGCGCGGCGGCGGCGGCGGCCTCAACAGCGTCTCAACATAGCCGTTCAGGACCGGGGCGAGGAACTCGGCCGGTGTTTTCAGATCGGGCAGCAGGGCGTAGCTCGTCAGGGAGTCGCCTATGCTCGGGGGCAGGGTGTCGAGGATCCCGCCGGCGACGGACGGAGACAGGGGCGTTGTGTAGAGGGCTTGGTGGGAGGGTGTACCGTTGAGCCAGGTGGAGTGGCTGAGACTCCGTACCTCCGGGGGGAGGCTGGAGAAGATCTCGGTGGCGAGGTACTGCTTGCTCACAACGAATGGGCAATTTCGTCAATCAGTCAAGTCCGGTTTTCGAAAGTGAGTCCAGATTCGTTCGGCTTCGTATTTGGACCTTTTTTCTTTTGGGGATGATGGAACGCACGTCTATGAACTCGCCTAGCTCCTCGGCATCGCTCGTCTTGCTCTCGTCTTCGATCGGGACCACGGGTTTGATCGCGTTCTTGCGGCCACCGCGCGCTCGTCGCGTCTTCTTGCTCGGGTTGGCGGGGGTGTTGGATGAGAGCTCGATGAGGGGGGTTGAGAGACAGTCTCTGAAGAGGAGGAAGTTTGACTCTTCGGATGGGTCCATCGGGGAGGGGAGGGGAGACAAGACTTTACTCGCTGCTTATCGATCTTTTCAAGAATGGGAATCGGAAATCCGGAAAAGGGTTCAGATTAAATACTCACTTATGTACAATGTAGGTACGGATCAAGGGGTGTGTGTGATATTCAAGTACCAGCAGACCCGCAGAAGTACGATACTTAACCCCGCGGTGCGATTCGGCAGAAGGTCAATGTACCCCGCGCCCTTAAGGGTACGACGACACTTCGGCTTCGAGGCTTGTGTGCAGTTCTTGTATTGCTACCTTTGTCGACTTTTATTTTTATCTTTCTTTTGAGAGATGGGTTCAGGTCATGAGATTGTGATAGCTTTCGATTTATACGGAACGCTGCTCTCGACGGAGAGTATCGCGAAGGAACTGGCTGTCCATTTTGGGAACGAAAAGGCAGCGAGTATCGCTGCGTTATGGCGGCGGTAATTTATCCATCAAATATTCTAGTGATGTGGAGTTTGAAGGCTGAAGATACCTGCTCAGATACCAGCTTGAGTATACCTGGCGACTGAACAGCATGAGTAAAACCCCCGTTCGGACCTCCGGAAGTCCAAAAAAAAAGGGAAAAAATGCCACCTGCTCACGTCTACGATTTGCAGACATCTACAAGCCTTTCTCGGACATCACGCACGCATCACTCAAGCACGCTCTGGCCGAATCCTCCTCCGCGACGCTTTCGGATGAAGACATCGCTCAGCTCATGAAAGCCTACGATTCCCTCGGGACGTTCCCGGACGTGGCGCCAGGCCTGCAGGCCATCGCTGCCGATGATTCGATCGCAGCTTATGTCTTCTCCAACGGCACCGATGCCATGGTGGCCTCCTCCGTCCGCTCCTCCCCCTCCCTCTCTCCCCACGCTTCTGTGTTCAAGGATTTGATCACCGTCCAGGAAATCGAGGCTTTTAAACCGGACCCGCAGGTGTATGTTCATCTGGCGAAGAGGGTTGGGAAGGATTCTAGAGGGGAGAGGGGCGAGGTCTGGTTGGTGAGCGGGAACCCGTTTGATGTTGTGGGCGCCCGGGCGGTCGGTATGCAGGCTGCGTGGGTGGATCGAGGGGGGAAGGGGTGGGTTGATCAGTTGGGTGGGTTGGCTAGCGGCGGGCCGACGATTGTGGTTGATGGGGTGGAAGATGCTGTCCGGGGGATTCAGAGGTGGGTTGAGGAGAATGGGAAGGAGAGGATGTGAAGATGTTGTGATTTTGCGTGCGGTGGGATGTCATGAGTGTTGAACACTTGATATTTTTGCAGCTCTGATTTGCGGATCTGCGGACTTGCAGGCTGTGGTATTTCAGCTTGAACCGTAATATAATATTAACCTTGATAGTAATTTGTTTTGGTTGTATAGTTTGTTCTTGATAAAGAGTTACTGTTCTTTGGCAATTCGAAAATGCGATCTCTATATCTGAAGTCTGATCCCAGAGTCCTGGGTTCCTTAGCACGAATTGCATATCGTGTTGGATCCTTAGCTATAGCTAATGTATACCTTGTCATCTCTGCTCAGTTCTATACGTATATGTGCAAGTTCTCAAAAGTAATATGTCTTCCCTCGGCTCTGCATCAGACAGTTTATCATTGGATCCATCCGGCTTCAACACGGTCTCCGTCTAGATCGGACACCACATACAGCTGTCTCACCACATAGATACAATTCTAGTATCCTCTCCCAACTTTCAAATCCATCTGAAAATATTAACCTCACTGCCTTCCTTATGCGAAGTGTTTGTTTTGTTTCTGACGGCCTCCGGTTTTAATAGGCGAGCTCGGTTACGTCAGCAGCCGAGTGATCATCAACGATCTCCTCGATTCCAAATACGTAAGAATATCTCACGTCGACATCGCATTCGCTGACAATTATGTCCGTCTTCTTCAAGCATTACGGCACTTGATAACATTTTTCACATTTCTGTTTCACTCTTACTCAGATCTCTTCAGTTCCAGCCCTGAACGTGTGAAATTTTTACTCAGATTCGCACGTCCCTTGTCTCGTAAATCGCACATCCGCCTCCACTTCCTCGAATCGTCTCCAAGATGTCGGAATGTGGGAATCTACAGCGTACTCAGAGCGTCGAAGACGAAGACCATGGACATCGTGGGAGCTCCGCCAGCTCGCCTCCTGCTCTTCCTCTGAAGAAAGGGAGAGGAGGACGTAAAGTCGTACGTCATGCCCATCCATCATGTCTCATAGGTAGTCATAGTCAGGTCAGTTTCTCCTAATAATATACGTGACCAGATGTTCCCTTCCGCAGAGGAAAAAAAGCAAAGAAACCGGGACTCCCAAGCTGCGTTCCGAGAACGGCGCAAAGAGCACATCGCTGAACTGGAGCAAGTTGTCCAAGACCAGAAGGAGAAGCTGCAGGAGTCGCAGAGAGCGCAGGCTAGTGCAAAGGAAGAGGTTTTGGTTCTCAAGTACAAGAATTCGCTCCTGGAGAGAATATTGCTCGAGCAGGGTAATTAGACCTCCATCACATACTTCTTGGGCAGGGGAACCACGCTGACCGATGGGTAGGCATCGATGTCAACGCCGAATTGAACAACATCTTGGTATTCCCACCACGAATCCCTGAGAAGCGAGCTCGCATGGAAAGACCTCTTCTTCGGAAGCAAGAGGTTGCGCCTGTTGCGGCGACCCGTAAGAGACCGCTTGAAGCTTCTACGTCGCCAGTTGTATCGACTGAGTGTTGTCACTGCTCTGGTCACCGCCACTTGAGTCCTGGGCTCCCGTCGACCACTCCACCCACAGCCTTTGATTCTGCCCCGGCGTCTGAAGAGCGTCCAAGCAAACTAAGACGACACGGTGCATCCCACGCCACTTCAACAACGTATAATAAGCATGCACCAGAGCCAGCGCAGCAAAAACGGGTTTCATGTGCTCGACGATCAACTCATCCCGGCAAGTACCCCCATCCGCCCCCTCCTCCTCCCTCTAAAGAGCTCTTTGGTCCTAGATTGATTCCGTGACATAGCACCCGCTGCATTTCCCGTGACCTCTCTCCCAACACCCGTCCTCCCCGACCTCAACAGCACAGCTCGATCCTCATGCTCCTTCCCAGGCCTGTTCTCCCCAGGACCCCTCGGCAAGTAACCCTTCCGATTTTCTCCATTTCGTGGGACTATGTTCGTCCTAGACTGAGTCCGTACGTACAGATCCACCCAGCTCCTTCTCCAACTCCAGCTCCAGCTCCACAGTACCCCAATCCCAACCCCAACCCCAAATCCGCGCCTCGCCAGCCACCACCTGGGCCCCTACACCGCCATTACCCCTCGACGTGGCAGCCGAGAATGAGACATTCGGCTTGGATCTTGACTTTGAGGCCGACTTCACCTTCGGCGGGATGATGGCCGGCGCGGGTGAGAAGTTCGACTTGGATCTGGGGTTCTTGTCTTCGGTGCACGTATAATCCTTTTCTCTGGCGAGGCATAGCAACGAACGATATCTGATTGATGTTTGATGATTGATGGTTGATGATTGAATTTTTGATGATTGATGATGATTGGGCCTCAGGTGGTGTTGGAGGCTAAGGTTAGTTCAAGTTGGTCCGTCGGCGTCGTCCTTAGTCAATGTGCGGAATTTACGAATTTCCTTATCTGAAAGCCCTGTCGATATTACTACACGTACGAGATCACTCCCCGTCCTCGTCCCCGTCTTCCCCACCGTGCCCCCGTCCCTCCTTAGCAGCGACCGGCGCCCTCTCCTCCTGCTTCCTCCAGAGCCCGGCGAGAAACTCGCTTGTGCTCGCTTCGTCGATACTCTTATCCTCTCTCTTCCTCAGAAAGCGGGGGAAGCGGAGACTCAGGCCCTTCTCGTCGCTCACGAGGCCGATCGCCGCGGTATAGGTCGGACTGATCGTGATGTCTATTTTCATTTCCAGATCAGTCCGGAGCTGCCGGCGAAGGACTTGCTTTCTTCAACAACAGAGAGAGAGAGAGAGAGGAAGCCAGACTTACCAGCGAAAGCCATCTCCCAGACCTCCTTCGGCTCGAACCACACATCCGGGTGTCCGCCCTCGTACTCAAGGTAACTCGGCTTCCCACCCACCACCACATTCTCCCCGGCCTCGTCGTAGAAGGCCCGGTTCGCTCTGTAGAAGGCGTCGGTGAAGCCGCTGATGCATTTGCACACGGCCTCCAGACTGCCCGTCTCCTCGTTCCGCACGGCCAGGAGGATCGGGGACCACCATTTCGATTTCCGGCCCTGGCCGTGCCACGCGGCGACGGGGATGAGGTCCAGCGTGTCGAAGGTGGTGCTGTAGTCCTTCTTGACCTTGAGCCAGGAGTCGAGGCGCTTGTCCGGCTCGTAGGTGGCGAGCAGGGCCTTGCGGCGGGTCTTCTTCTCGGCTTTCTCCTCGCTGGCTGCTGCGTTCTTCTTGCCTCTCACGGGCTTCGGGGCAGCTTCTTCTGGGACTGGGACTGGGACTGGGACTGGGACTGCCGTGAGGGATGATGGTTCTGGGATATTGGCATCGGGGAGGTTGTCGAGGATCTTGACCATGATGCCTTCGCATTTCACGTCCGTGGCGCTCTTGAAGAACTCGAGAACGGCTTCGGAGTCTTGGGACGTGGCGTCGATGGATCGCACCCACGTGAACTGGTTGGGGATTTCGGTGAAGAGGCCTCGGAGGAGTTCTCGTCGTTCGCGGAAGGGGCGGTCGAGGAGGGATTCGCCGTTGAGATACATGAGGTCGAAGGAGAAGAGACAGACGTTGACCCTGACGCTGCCAATGGCGACGTCTTTACGTGCGCGGTTGGCTAGGGTCTGGAAGGTCTTGAGGTCGCCGGATTCGGGGTCTACGGCTACAACTTCTCCCTCCATGATGAAGCTTGAGACGTCTTCGCCGCGGATCTCGGGGATGAGGGCGACGAGGTCGGGATATTTGTCTGTCATGAGCTCGAGGTGCCGAGAGAAGATGGAGACCCTGCCTTGGTCATCGCAGTGGACTTGGGCTCGCTGACCGTCGTACTTGTACTCGCAGCTGAAATCTCGTCCTTGAAGTTTCGTGAGCATCTCGGAGAGATCTCGCGTGATGCTTCCTAGCATTGGGCGGAGAGGGATGTGTAGGGCAAGTCCACATCTGATCAGTAGCTCTTCGCAGACGCCAATCTCAAGGAGGACGGGTATCAAGTCGTTGTAATTTGGTCGTCTGGCAAAGCAGGCTTTTACTATTTCTTCTGCATTGGACCAGACGACTGCCAATTCTTCCTTCTTGAGTCTGGCGAGCTCGGCTGGAGATTTGAGAGGGAAGTCTGCTCCTGATGGTCGCGAGAGAAGTAATGCTCGCGAGAGCGCTATTAACATTGTGGTTTTGACGGCACCGATGCGAAGCTGGTCCAGTATCAGTAAAGCATCTGAAGTTCTTGGGCGTGTTTTACATGTTGACAGAGAGTCCGAACGACATATCGGCTCTCTTCTGCGCCTCTAGCATCTTGCAACAATCGGTCAACCACCCGCTGCTTGATCTCGCCACTCCCGGTGCCCTGAGTCTTTGCAATCTTGACGAGGGATTGGTAGACTCCTTTAATGGTCAGGGGTTTCGGCTTTCGAAGTGTGAAACTTTGCCGCTTCTTTGCTTCGAATGCCACATCGCCAGCGTCGCCAACTTTATCATATAGAGCTTTAAGCGATCTGCTGTCTAGACCACACACATTCTTGAGGGCTTTGGATATAGCGGAACCACCGAGCCCGAGTTCTAGAGATATGTAGGGTGGTGATATGGCATTTGTACTGAGCCAGACCTAGGGGACCACGGAAGTTAGTCATGAAAGCTCGTAGGATTAGTTCTACGGCTCGAAGGAGGGCACCCTGGTATACACAGCCAATGTCGCAAAGGATAGGCACACGATGCATGAAATTGATACATACAGTAGGAAGAAGACTACTTGGATCACCCTCAATAATCACTCTCAGAAGGTTCACAAGCGTATCTACAATCCTGATTCGACTCTGAGTACTATTAACCAACACAAAACATCTCGTAAGCAAAGCATAAGAAGCATCTCCTCCCTCTGCTGCCCAATGCCCTTGCAATTCCGCAACGTATTTTGAAGGGTCGAATGTCAGAGGACTTTCGTCGAATGGTATATTCGAGGAAATGGTATCCTCGGCTGACCCGGCTGCCTGTAGAGACAGTGTATTCTTGCCTTTCGGCATCAAGAGATGATTCACAGGTTTGGCCCTTGTAGAGTGATCTTCGAGCTTGGCTTCTTCCTCCACAGACTTTGTTTCGTCCGTTTGGTCGGGGGTGGCTTCATCCTGTCCTCCAAGCCCTGATGTCTCTGCTCTCTCTGTATAGTTGCCCGGCACATCTTCCATTCCAATTTCTTTGCCATTCTCACTCTGTTCTTTGGGTATTCGTCTACCTGCGGCTTCTTCCTGGTCCCATTCTGCCTGCAATTTCCTGGCCAACTGTTCATCTGTCAAGTTTGATGAGTTGCCTTGCTCCTCGGGCTTCTGGCATGCGGTCTCGGCTTTAGGTACGACAGGACCTTCTTTCTGCTTTCCAAAGAAGAAGTCAAGGTTTCGTGAGCTCGCAGGCGATGACTTAAAGTCGTTGTTGACTTTGCGTTTCTTCGCTGGAGGGGCCATTCTGGATCGAGATGCGACTGAGTTGGCGGGCTCGACCTCCGATCCGTCCCTACTACCCAGCGAATCTCCTGCACGTATCCGCAAAGTTCCTGGTAATAGCTCTCATGGATGTCGTTGATTCGATTTTGTTGCTGGGTCTTTGAAGTTGAACAAGACACCGCCATCCGAAGCAGGCGGGTGGTGGTCTAGTCGCGCTCGCCAAAGCACGAGCTTTGAACCCTGGAAATTAGAATGTTCTACAGAGCTGCAGCTACCAGAAACTCCACCTCCGCTGTCACCACCAACACTGCGTTATAGTACTGCATCCGTATCACTACTTCACCATGGCTCAGAGCTCGAGTCCCTCAATCTCTCGCGAGAGAAGCCCAATAGCGGTGCTCATCAACCCCGAAAAGGACATACCTCTAGGAGAGCGGGACATCCGAGTGGAAGACTATCTCAATGACAAGTTACAAAGCCCTGGCGACCTGAGAGAGATCGCTAAGATAGTCGAGAATGTATCGTTACAGAGGCAGCAGCTAGACGATCAGGTTTGTAAACCGCAGAGCATTCCACCATGTCTGGCCTCAACTAACTCAATCAATAGCTTACCAAAGCAAGAGCGGAAATCGAATTGGCCAAGGAGGCATGCAAGACTCGCGAAGTTCTCATGCTGGAAAAGACGAAAGAGTTCGAAAGGCAACATGCCAATGTAATGGCTCGTTTGAAGATTGTGACGTCTTCTGATACGCCAGAGGCGGCAGCAAGGCTCTTAGCAGAACCAGTCGAGGGCCTGCGGAAGATGGAATTGACACACCTCTACTTGCAAATGATCAGGGACGTCAAAACATGGCAAGCAGAGGCAAAGTCATGTCTGCCAGGAAATCCTAAGAAGGCCCTCAGGCCGTACATGCTGTTGCAAGGAATGGCCACGAGGCTTTCCGAGCTTCAACTTTCAGCCGAAGGTGCCGCTGTCCATCTGGTTCAGTACGTCCAACAGACAGTGGAGGTTCTCTGGGCTCAAATGAAAGCAATCATGGTGGGAGAGTTCGAAGCAGTGCTTAAGAATTCCCGGTGGCCAGATCCAACGAGCGAACCTACAGCGGAATGGAGTGACTGCATAGCGAAGCTCCTCGAGTTCCAGATGCCAGAAATTGTCCTTGCGAGGCAACCTCTCATACTTTTGCCAATGGGTTCGCTCGCAGACCCTTTCGTGCAACAGTTCAGATACCATTTTTACGGCGATAAACCAACAAACCACCCTAGTCAGGTTTGTCTCTACTTGTAAGAGAGTTGATGTGTGACTGACGGCTCATAGCTTGGAAATTTTTATTTCGCATGGTTTGTAGGAACAATATCGAAGTGGCAGAACTTTCTCCGAGAGAACATAGGCCCTTTACTCGCTACCCATTTTAGGGGCAACATCTATTCGGGCAATTCATTGTACGTCGATCCGGTAGCGGCCTTTGTGACTGCTCTGTTACCAGTAATGAGGGAGAAAGTCAATCGCCAAATCGAGCAAATTGCCGATAATCCTCCATTGTTCAGTAAATTTATGGTCCAACTGATGGACTTCGATGAGACGATCAGAAGCAAATTCAACTACGACGGAGGAAATCCAGACCTGGGCTGGAAGGGATTGACCTGGGATGTTCTGGATATCTGGTTTGACTCGTGGTACAACGTCGAAAAGAAGTTTGCTATAGATAGATACTGGGACATCATGCATACCCAGAACAGTTCGATGATTGACTACGACAGCTCTGGTCCCGGGAAGACCAAGCCGACCTTTGGAGCAGCAAAAATCTCAGACCTTATCCAAAATGTCACCGTCCAGTACCGCCAAGTGAGGAAGTTTTCACACAAGATGAAATTCCTTATCGGTATCCAACTAGAAATCCTTGATCTTTACTGGGGTGCCCTCAAAGATTCTCTGAACCTGTACACCACTATGACCTCCACAGTTGGCCGTGCTATACACGGATCCACCAAGGAACAGCAAGCCGCCCTCCAAGGAGTTGGCAAGCTTGAGACGCTATGTAAGGTCTTTGGCAGCGCGGAGCACCTGATCTCCACTATGAAAGATTGGAGCAACGAGGAGGTAAGCACTGAGTTTTGATACAACGTACTGGACATTTACCATGCGCTGAGCTGACGACTCTAGTTCTTCATCTGTCTGTGGGAAGGCTTGCAGGAGAGAGCAAGGGATACCGACAGCACCGTGGCACTCGCCGGGGAGATGTCATACACTGTGGTCAGAGAGAGTACATCTGATGCTATGGGCTCCGAGACCGAAGGCGCGGTGTTCGACAAAACTATTGAGAACTACGAACAGCTTCGAAGAATGGCCGAGTCCAACATTATCCAAGCGCTCAAATACGGATTCCCATCATCTTTTAAGCTGTACATCAACAGACCTCAGTGGTCGTCAGTTGATGATATTTCAGGTCGGTCAGCTATCCTTGCCTATTAAGGGCGTGGACTTACATTGGTAGGAACATGGCCTTCTGCCAGAACAGCAGAGCTTGATGCACCACTGCAGGTAAGTTGTTAATTTGAGAATGATATTATGGGAGTTGATCCGGTTCCAGGAATTGAAAGCAAGCCTGACTTTCCTACGCAAATCCCTGGCTGATGCTCCGTTCCGCCGTATCTGGCGCGAAGCTCTTAGCAGTCTCGCAGACCTAATCTACGACCAAATAGTTGTTAAACAAGAATTCACCACGGTCGGCGCTGCCCAACTCCGCTGTGATTTTGAAGCTATTCAAGCCACAGTCGATCGATACATCACTTACAGCAAAAACTCATCCCTTAGTATGCCGAAGCTGAGAGAGGCTATTCAATTGTTAAACATTCCGGTCGAAGGTGGCGAGGGTGATGTAGGACTGAAGGAGATTAGCGAGGAGATATTCGCGGGTGCTGAACGCACTTCAGCCATGCTTGAGAGGTTGGGAATGGAGTATCTTAGTAATGGGGAGGCGAGGGCGGTTCTAGCGAGGAGGCTTGAGGCGAGTACGGACTAGAGGTTGTTTGGGAGAGCCTTCACTTGCATAGTATCGGCGGTACATAGAACATACCATGATGTGTGCGAGTATCGGTAGGCTTTATCAGATATTCAAATCAACAACTTGGGGCCTCGCGGAACCTTCGATTTTCACGCTGTTTGGTAGGTGGTCATGCGGTCCACACTAAATTGAAATAACGCTGAAGTAGCCTGCATCTGCAAGCAGGAGTCAAGTGGCAGGTTCTAGCCATCGTGTCCTCTTCCCAAAACATCTCCAACACAAACTATACCCTTCACAATTCTCTCTAAGAAATGGCCCTCATTGTCATCTCCACCACAGCGAACGTGCCCGCACTAACAGGCATAGCCCTCAAGAGCGTCGGGAAGATGCCCTTCCAAAACCCCCTCAGTCCCTCCGCTCTGTAAGTCTGTCTGAAACAGTCATTCATCCCCTTATACTTCATTTCCTTGCCAAAGCCATCACTCTGCATCTTGCTCTTTACGACATCCAGCGGGTAGCTGCCCAGCCACAGCGCCTCCCCAGCCAAACCCCCGTAGAAAGCAACCTTCCACGTGGCGATGGCCTTGCGGTCGATGCCGTTGCGGGAGGCGTCGGCGTTCATCATCCACTCGAAAGCGAGGAACCAGACGCCATAGGCCTGCGCCTCGCGGAGGATGGTGACCGCCTCTCCACGATACAGGCCCTTCAGTACACCCTCGTGCGCGGAGAGCTTGCGTACGCAGTCCAGCGGGCCGCTGTACAGGCGTGCGGCGCCGTGGGGTTGCGTCTGCAGTCGGATCCTCACGTGTTCGATGGGGCCCGAGATCACGGAGTTGGCGATTCCCGCGAACGCACCGGCGCAGTAGTACTGTGGGTAGCTGAGCCCGGGCGATGAGGGGGACTTGGAGGTGTTGTAGGCCTCCAGACGGCGGCGGGCTTCGTGGAAGGCGCCAAACTGCACCGAGACGCAGGCGCCGATTCCGATCAGGGGCGTGAGGGTGCCTTTGTAGAAGGCGAGGGCACCCTCTTGGGCGTAGATGGTTTTTGCGGCGGCGAAGGCGTTGGGGTATCGGGTTGTGGTTTGCAGGCGGACTTTTACTATGTCGAAAGGTTGGCCTGGAGGGGGTGGTCAGAGTTGAAGGAATTAAGATGGGTGGAATGTGAAGGAATGCCTAGGCCATGATGTGAAGGAGAGACTTCTGAGATATGGGAGAGAGATTCATCATATATATCAAGCAGAGGGATATAGAGACACAAATATTCACAGAGATTTGAATCGTAAACAATTGATCAAGCAGCCAATGTCACCACTCCCTCTCCCACTCATGGTACACACGTGATATCAAATTGAAAACCGGCAAAGGAAGACGAACGATTGGAAAGAGAGAAAAGCGTATCCACGGAAAGGAAGCTCACCTATGAGTACCTGCGCAACTCCGCCTGCAGCGCCGGCGAGCAGGTCCTTCAGCGTCCTCGCCATTCCTCCCTCCTCCATCTCAGCAGCGGCGTCCGCCATCTTGTACTGCAACACACGATCTCTGCTTTCACAACTTTTCCCAAGTAGTCTTCCTGCGCGAAGTATTGAATTTTGCGTACTTCAGTTCACCCACGGTTTGTATTGCTGGGGTTATCTATGATGCGAGATGTAAACAAAGGCCGTGGTTGTAGAAACGCTTTGTGCTACCGGTATACTGAATGCGAAGCTCGGGAGTGGTGATGTGCTCGCTTAATAGTCGCTTGAGAGCCAATCATTCATTCTACTATGCCCAGAGGCCTCCTTTCAGAGTTTTCATCTTCTGGACCTCACATTTCGACATTCAACCTTCGCCATTTAACACCAACCAACACCAACACCACTAGCATTTCAACCTTCATCACCAGACTTGGGCCATCTTGAAGCTGTCAAGACCAATTTCCTGATTGAAAGACATTATCTTGGATTATCTCACTTAGCGATCTTCTCGCCACCTCAAGATGAGGGAGGTCCTCTATTGGTTGTATATCCTTGTTTTCTCATAGGACGGCGCATCGGTCACTCCGGCACTGCAGTCCAGTCCAGTCGGTCATGCCACTATGGCAGGCTTTCGGTTTTTGCCCCTCCATCAGCGGCTTGATCAGCCTTAAGCCCTCCCCACGCCTTCTCTTATCTCTGTTGCGGTCTATTTCATTTGATCCTCTCAAGTCGCAAACCTAATTCACAGCCATCTTTAAGTTTTCCATCACAGCTTTCCAAACGCAGCAGCCCCATCAAAATGGTCATCCTCGGAGGCCTCGAGCTCGTGGCAGCAGGTTACATTTTGAAAAAGCACTGTGACAACAAGAGAGAGAAGCAGCGCATCGAAGATGAAGCCGCCGCTCTAGAAGAACAGCAATACCGCATCTTTCCCTCTGACGGACGCGGTCGTCACTCGCAGTCACAACATCGAAGAAGACGATCGCATAGTCGCAGGAGACATTCGACGGATGGAAAATATAGGAAAGAGTCTCCGCAACCACCGATGTCTAGTGCAAGGCCGCCACAATATATCAATGTGCCAGCGCCTGGGAACATGCAAAACCCGATCACATATCCTCCGCCGCCACAGAGGCCGAACGGACCACAGCCGCAACAACAGCAGAGACCGCCACAGCCTCAGGAAGCACAATACCCACCAGATATAAAATACGGATGGACAGATGACGAGCCTGCGCGGCCTCTGAGACAACATGATGTCAACGATCCACCGACAGGCTGGCCTGCCAACTGGGAGCAATCGGTAGCATCACGCGCTGAGTCTTCGAGGGGCAGACAGGAGATGCGGACCGATTCGCCGCATGTGCGGTTTGCGAGTGAGAGATACTCGCCGAGTGTGAGGTCTGAGAGTCGGAGCCCTCCGCCGTGTTACAGAGCGTAGAAAGGGACGATGTGGGTAGGAGCTGAAGGGATAGATGCTGGCATCAAAAGCCAGGGAATCACATATATGTGATGGGATGGTATATCTTGTTGCAACGGTTGTCTGTTAGCGGGAGTTTGGATTTATCGCTTGTCGGCGTCTTTGACAGAGCCAAGCCAGGGTGCAAGATTGGGTTTATAGTATGTAGCTCTCGATACCATTTCAGTAATTTCATCTTTTTTGCCCATCACACCCGTTGTCGAATTCGGTTTGGGATATTCAGAGGCTGTAGATATCAGAGAATGTCAGATGGTCGATTCCACTTTGGAATATTTCTTTTGCGGGTTACTGGCATGAGGCGTACCAGGCAATTTTTGTGGTTTTGAGCTCCAAGTTTTGTTGCACGTCACTTCCATGTCCCACTCAGCGCCGGGACATTAAGAATAGCCCATACCTTTGTTGCACGTCGCACTCGTTGCCGAATTTATGTTGGACATTCGGAGCACTCGGTGCCCTGGCCATTATCAAAGTCTTTGTTGCACATCGCGCCAATGTCCCAAGTACGACCCGAGACATTCCCGGGCACCTGGGACATGGCGAGATTTACAGCCTCGTACCGTGTTCACTATCCCAGCGGGGCCAACGGAACTTGTGACAGCAGCCTGACATCCTTTTCTACTTCCAGCGGGCCCGCTCTATTGCCATCGGGTGGCTTCTCGTGCAAGTTACCTGGGCGTGTGCAGTGCGGATCTGAGTATGGTTTTGATATGGAGTTGATGGCGGCTTGGAGGGAAACGACATGGCTTGTTTGTAAGGAGGAGAAGTCTTGACCCGGCACTCGGAGATCTATCTCGCTTAGATGTCGAGGCAAGTCACGGTAGGGAATGAATTCTCTGTCTGCAAGCGGCTTTTATTTCGTCGGATTGGATAGGATGGACAACCCAAGTATTCAGGATCCTCACGTCGAAGGGAGACTCTCGGAACTTGATTCTTGTTGAGTACTTATTCAGAACGACGCAATGAAGACATCTTATTTGAGGGACTCGGAATATAAACGCCCGCAAAATTGCCCGCCTGGTTACTAGGTAGTACTGCCGATCCGACGGCAAGGAGTACGTTCCCATTGTTCGAATGGCGTCTTGGACACTTTTTGGTTTGACGCTCGGTACTCACGGAATAAGCCGAGTGGTGAACGTTCCAGGTAGCTAGGGGTGCGAAATGGCACTAGAGCTGTGAGGCCATCCATATTTCAACTATTGCCTGCCCTCACAAATAATATAGCATCAATTCTTTGGCAGAGCTCGACTATTTGGAGTTTCCATGTGGAGGTACCTGCCACGGGCATCTTCCGATTTCTCTTCATTCGCTCTCTGCATCTCATGCTATCTGCGGAAGAGGGTGGGTTGCTTCTGCCGGTACTTTGGACCACCTGCTCGAGACTACCCGTCCATCCTTGACCACAGCCAGAAGATTCTCGTCAGGCCGATCGAGAATGGTTACATCATCCAGTGGGTTCTTGTTCAAGATGAGGAAGTCGGCGAGGTATCCCGGCTTCACGTTTCCCAGGTTGTCCTGCTGCATCATTTTTGCTGCGTTGGTAGTCGCACTTTGCAAAATCTGCAAGTCTGTCAAGGCCTGTCTCCGCAGCTGAAACTCATGCGTCTGGGCATATTGAAGAGGTCCAAGGAGATCTGACCCGTAGCAAATCGTGACGCCGGCTTCAGACGCTATCCTGAGAGAGCGCAGGCCTGCCTCGAGAATCTCCTTGTTCTTGACAGCCGAGGCAGGCGGCAGGAAGTCCGCGAAAGGGGGCGTCTCCATAGCTGCGTACGTGATGAGTGTCGGCGTCAGGAAGACGCCCTTCTCAGCCATCAGCTGGGCGGTAGGCTCGTCGATCAGGTTTCCATGCTCGATGCCACGGACGCCGAGCGCCACAACCTGTCGAATCGCTCTGGGAGTATAAGCGTGCGCGGTGACGTACGTCCCAGCGTTGTTTGCGACCTTGACGATTGCAGAGATCTCTTCCTCCGAGAATTGCAGCTGGTGGATGCCGTCGCTGGGACTCGCCACGCCACCGCCTGCCATGATCTTGATGAAGTCGGCACCGCGGCGAATCTCCTCTCTAGCGGCCTTCATACACTCCGGTACGCCATCACAAAGTCTCCCGAGGATGGTAAGATGGCCTCCGCAGCAGGGCTCTTGGTCGTACATCGACCGTGTGTCTCCGTGACCGCCTGTCTGCGACAGCGCGTGGCCAGAAATGAACAATCGTGGGCCCCGAATTGCGTTCTCAGCAATCGCTTGCTTCAGTGCTGACTGTGCCCCAGCACAGTCGCGTATCGAGGTGAATCCTCTGTCAAGCATCTGTCCTGCAACATAGGGCACTCTCGCTGCTGCGACCGCGGGAGCCATACTCAGGGTCGAATGCAGGTCAGGAGCACCAGGGACGATAGTTATGTGAACGTGACAGTCAATTACTTTATCCGCGTCAGTTCCCTTTTCATGGATTTGAAGGGGAATTCGTGCTTACATCCAGGGCATATGAACTTCCCCTCCAGGTCGATGATGGTCGTTGCTTGCTTGTCTTCTATCTCTACCGTTTCCGAGACGCTTCTGATGAGGTCGCCAACCACATGAACAAAGACATCCTTTAGCACAGTGCCGTTGATAGGATCTATAACGTTGGCATGGATAAATACGATGTTTGATATTGGAGACTTGGGCCGCCAAGGCGTGACCAGATCTTGAACAGGCCGCTGCTCCATCATTTGTTGCGTAGCGTGACTTTGCAGAAATGGTACCTTTGGAGGTTGTTTGGCATGTTTGTTTCATAACGTCGAGACAATAAAGTTTTTAAGATTTTATAAGCTTACTGACTTTCTGGACCCTCTTCGAATCCCCAAAATAGGAGGCCGGGATCCTGCTCCAGATACCCGCTCGTCTAAGATAGGAGGAGCATTCGGCCCAATATCTATTGGGTAGAGCAACCGTAATATCACCAGTCTTATCTGTAGTCCCCTGTTCTTGTTGATATGCTATGAAGAATTGTAAGTACGGCCTCTCCACGGCACTGCATCCCACCTTCGTCAAGCTCGGGGATCGTCCGCATGGATGGAGATAGGCATGCCGGTCATAACGATCGTGGACTACGGCTAGCCCAGGTGTACTATCAAACTCCATTACCCTCCTGATATAAAAGGGATAGAGTCTCACTCAATTGCCTCTATTTTAAATTGCGTATATTTTGTTGAGGTGTTTTTCTTACATGGCCGAAGCGAACAAAATCTCGCCAAGATGACTTCCGTTAACGAAAAAGCCATGTCTTCGGATGCCAACGCTTGCTCCGGCTTATCAAAGATCGATGATGGTATCCCTATTGCCAGTCTCAATCCCGAGGACGAGAAGAAGCTGGTCCGGAAGATCGATTTTCAGTTCATAGCCGAGCCGTCCCGAAGTACTGGTACCTCACTGACTGCCCTGCAGTTTGATTCCCATCATGTTCATTCTGTACTTCTTCCAGTACATCGACAAGACATCCCTGGGTTATACTGCTATTATGGGCTTGAAAGTCGATGCAGTAAGTGATAAAAGGCCTTCTGTCAGATCATCCACTGACCGAAAGCACAGCACTTGAAAGGTCAAGAGTACTCTTGGGTGTCAAGTTTCTTCTATGTTGGTTTCCTTGTTGCGAGTCCTATTGCCAGCGTGTTTCTCGTCAAGTTCCCCGTAGGCAGAGTCGTCAGCAACACGGTGTATGTGTCTACCATCTCCAGAAGCCATTCCAATCATTGACAACGCAGTCCAGTTTGCTCTGGGGTACGGTGTTGATGTGCATGGCCGCTTCGAAGAGCTTTGCAGGCTTGTCGGTTCTCCGGATCCTCCTCGGAGGCTTGGAAGCCGCGATAAACCCTGGCTTCACGATCCTTACAGCTATGTGGTATAAACCTTCGGAACACGCTCTCAGGCATGGTCTGTGGTATGGAGGAGGTCAGTAAATCTCACTTTGATAGTCAAGTAGTTTGAAGATACGAAGAGCGGGAGCTGGCTGCATCCGCTCGCTCACCTGTACCGGGAACTGCTTTGCTGATCTGTTGACTAGCTCCCATCGCCATGACATTTGGAGGTCTCTTATCCTACGCTATCAATCATATCACTATAGGCATGGCGCCGTGGAAATGGCTCTTCGTCCTTTTCGGAGCAGCAACCTTTCTCTGGGGTATCGTCATGCTCATCTTCCTCCCGGACTCTCCACAACACGCCAGATTCCTCGGTCCCGAAGAGAGACGCCAAGCATTTGCTCGTGTTCAGGGGGAACAGCACTCGGCATATACGCGGAAGTGGAACAATGCTCAAGTGGTAGAAGCTCTGATCGATCCAAAGTCGTGGTTGCTGTGCTTCCTCGCTTTCTTCCTCTGCCTCCCTGGTGGAGGACTGGGTAGCGTAAGTCATCGTTCAAATCCCAGACCAGGATGGTAGGTGCTCATGTCTGCTTCACACAGTTCGGCAGTATCATCCTCCAAGGATTCGGGTTCAGCACTTTCGAGACGCTTCTCCTGGGGATGTCCCAGGGGGCCTTCATGTTCATCTTCCTCGTCTTCACCGTGACATGGTCCGTGAAGTTCAGGAATGGAAGGTGCATCTCCATTGCCATCTGTCAAATCTTCTCCTTGATCGGCTGCCTCATGATCAAATACATCCCACCCCACAACAAAATCGGCCGTCTCGCAGGCCTCTGGTTGATCGGGGCCTACGCTAGCGCTACTCCCACAATCATGAGTCTGATTTCCAGCAACGTCATCGGATATACCAAGAAAGCCGTCGTGGGCGGCATGTTCTTCGTAGCTTTCTGTGCCGGCTACATTGTCGGACCTCAGACTATGCTCAGCCATGAAGCGCCCGGCTACGAGGTAAGTTGGCGATGGCGACTTTCGCTGGCTGTGATGATGGCTAATGGGCATACGCAGACTGGATTCAGTGTCATGGTCGCTTGTTTTGTCCTCAATCCTGTCCTTGTCATGGTGCTCCGCCAAGTTATGGACTTCACCAACAAGAAGCGCGACCGTGAGGCTGCGGGTACTGATACTCTATCTCGCGAAAATGTTGCTGAGACCGAAGGAGCACTAGCTCAGATCGAGCTCGATGAAACAGATTGGCAAAATAAAAGAATTCGGTACGAGCTGTAGCACCAGAGGAGGGCGCCCGCTTGTAAAGGGGTCTGTCAGGAACGATCGGGAAAGGAAGTTGGATCTAGTTCCAGCACAGCAGGGACGCAGGAAGATAGTGACATCCCTCATCGCTCATTCTTACCAAGAGATTGTCTAGGAGACGTTGACTACATTTCACGTCCAGCGGTCAATCAAACGCTTAAAAGCTCAAGAGTCCTTGGTCCGACGTACTCTTCTCAACTCCAACTTCGTCATCAACAGCAAAAATTCAGAAGGCTCCGAGAGCTGCAACTTACACACCGAAAGCCCCAGACCTCTCCTTGGAGAAGGTTCAGGCTCTTGGCTAGCAGTCCTTGCCTCCTCGAGCTGTATTTCATATCCTCTAGTATCAAGATATTTGTCTTTCTAAAATGCTCAGTATCTACCCTTTAAGCTAGCTTCAGCAGCTTCTTACTGGCCAAGTTGCTCTCTATCCAAAAGCGGCTTTTCG